GAGTACATTAACCATTCTGGGACCTCACTTAATGAAGCAAATCTGTTTGAAGATCTCCTGACTCCTGGCAGCATAGGTGGGCATCATGAAAAAGACCATTACTGCCTCTGTTAGTCTCCCTGCTCTAATTGCTGAGAGGCCAGGCTTTGGAGTCTGTGGGGTCTTCTAAAACTCTTGACAACCTAGGCAGGGGATCTTCAGAGCAAAAAGATTCTGGTTTCTCCCTCCTATTTATTATAGTGGGACTATTTGCCTCTGCTTCTAGAAGCTATGCTGGTGGCTTCTAGGGATCCTGGGGCCCATCACCTGCCTAGCTAGCTTTGCTTCTCCCTCACATTTCCATCTCTCTTTCAAATTCTTCTGGAATTTCACTAGTGGTTTAATCATTATTCCAAAAGGAGAGCATTTGAGGCTCTCTCCCCACCCCCAACACTCCCATGATGCCTCTGTCTCTGAACCACAACCGAGGGGCTGCATAGGCATATACAATACTCTGGTTAATTCTGCAGTCAGAATGCCGCTGTGCTGCCTCCACCGTAGGCCCTTGGCCATGCCAGCCTTGCTCCAGTCCACAGAACATACCACGGGGGATAATTATAGTTGTGGGGGTGGTGCTTTGAGAATGGCCTCCATAGGCTCATACATTTTAATGCTCGGTCCCCAGGTGTGGTGGAACTGTTTGGGAAGGATTAGAAGGCATGGCTTTGTTAGAGGACGTATGTCCTTGGAAGCAGGTTTAGAAGTTTCAAAAGCCGGTACAATTTCTAAATAGCTTACTCTATGCTGTGTGTGTGGATCCAGATATAAGCTCTCAGCTCTTATCACCACGCATACCTCCCGGCCACCATGTTTCCTCTGTGACGTTTATGAACTCACCCTCTGAAACCGTAAGCCCCTAATAATGCTTTTTATAAGTTGCCTTGGTCACGGTGTTTTGTTACAGCAATAGAAAAGTAATTAAGACAGAGTGTTCAAAGGGGCTTCGCTGTGGGTAGCTCAATGTACTGCCTACATCCCTTTCAGAAACTGCTCTCACCCGGCTGGCTGCCCCTATGGAAGTGGTCCTGGTCCCGATGAGCAGGACCCCTCCTGATGATCAAGGGACATGATACATAAAGCTCTTTATAGTCACTCCATCTTAGGCCAACTCTCAGGAGTCCCTGTACAGTCAAAACATGCCACCAAGCCTGCTCTGGAGGTTGATTTCTCTCTGCCCAAGCCTGCTGCTTCTTGGCCCTTCCTAACAGCACACCTTCCTAAGCTCCACCTCATCCTGGAGTCTGTTTCCCAGGCTGCAGATACTACAACGTGCAGCATTTGTTCACTGCAGCGATATGCTCATCTCTTAAAATGGAGCAAAGAGTGAGGGGAGTGGAGCGAGGGTGGGGAGTGGGAGGAGGGGGTGCAGACCCCCCTTCCACAGGGATGATGGTACATTAAGCAAACAGAGGGTATGAGCCAAGACTTCAGTCCCTTAGTGAATTTCTTCTTCCTGGATGTTGGAGTTGGGCAGAAAGCTTTAGGGGGAAGCAGACAAATCCCCAGCAGCCCCTTCTCAACTGTCCACTTCCAACCCTGTAGAGATGGAGTGTGCAAAGCCATGCTACTCCTGGGAAATGCATGGCATATTCATTAATTCCATTTCTAACTCCAAATGCATAATTTTTGTCTGAAATCTGTCATACTTTATTACTTCCCCCAAATTAGCAAGTGGTTATCAGTTATCCAAATTTTGGGAAAATTCTTAAGGAGAAAGCGTCAAGCTTTCCTTAAGCTGACTGTGTGGCTAAGCCTTTTGCAAAATGGGGGAAAGATAGCCACAGCTTAGTTTTAATCAGGGCCCCTGAAAGCAGTCTGAGGGAGGTGGGAGCTGAGTCTCAGCTTGCTCCAATAGAGGGGCTCCATGTACCTACTGTCTGGGCTTGGGGATGCCAGGCCTATGAGGTTAGACCCAGAAGGTAGTGATGAGAAGAATATCTACTCTATATGAAAATGCTTTCTGTTCCCATTAAAGTTCCTCTGAACTGAAGATCCTGCTACTAAGACCACCCAAGAGCTTACAAGAATGAGCTTGTGTAAGCCTCTCAAGTAGTGAACACATTTTATGTAAGAAAACACAGTTTTCAAGAAATGAAGTTCCTTGGGAGCTGGAGAGATGTCTCAGCAGTTAAGAGCCCTTATTGCTCTTGCAGAGGACTGTAGTTCAGTTCCCAGCACCCACGTTGGGAGGTTCACAATTATTTGTAACTCCAGTTCCAGGAAGACCTGATGTCTCTGGCCACAAATGGGCACCAGCACACGTGTGCACATACTCATCCACAGACACACATTCAGATATATAACTCAAAGGAAGCAATTTACCACATCTGGCTCCCATTGCCAAGGCATATGTCTATATTGATACATGGTTTAGCTCCTTGTTGCCTCCAAATTGAACCAGGAGAGAGAAAAGCAGAAAAGCACACAGACACCAGGAGAGAGAAACAAGACTAGGACATGTGGCAGACTTCTGTGCAGATGAGGATGCTAGGTCCCAGTTTTGAGAATGCCTATTCCGGCGGGGAGGTACCACTCAGTTCTAGGCACAGCAATGTGTCATGGGGTCTGCAGCTATCAGACCCCAATTCCAGTCATTGTGTAGGGAGACAGAAGGCCAAAGACTCCTGCAGGCATTCCAAGGTGAGTCACAGGGACACCAGGAGGATGTAGCTTGCCACTTCCCTTCTCATGACAAATGGCAAGATTTCCGTAGATGCTAACTGTGTTCCTTGGTTACCACAGCTGATTCCGGTCATATCTCTTTCTCAGTGAGGTTTACACCTTAAATGCTACCAAGGCTAGCCTGCAGTACAGACGTATCAAGTATCTAGGTTTGAAACCTAGCAAGGCCGCTACGGAGGGTCACCTGCTAGGAGAACTGGCATTTGACTTGGTAATGTTTCACAGCCTATCTGTGAATACCAGAATCACCAAGAGAGACTCGGAAGTCCCCTGCTTTTAGATAATAAAGTCTTTTAGCTACATTGTTACCTGCTGTCTCACGAAAATCCCTACCATCTGGGGGCTCTATAAACAGGGCACTCCCCCAAGTGAGAAACAGGCTGTTGTATTTCTGACTGGTTCCTTGTCTAGCACATACTTCAGCTGTGTGTGTCTGCTACCTTGAACCACAGTCTGACTCTGGTAGCCAAGATGCTCCGTCTCAATAAACACAGGCAGCTGCCACTAGTCTTTCCACACAAACCCTTCATGGGTTTCACCATGTGGATGTGCTTCCTTCTACCCTGGCCCCAGTCCTCCGGCCTTCCTCACAGGATATACTTTTTGTCCCTTTAATCATCTTTATTGCCTCTCTTTGGATGCTGGCCCGGTCCACATCCTTTGCAAGATGCATTGACCTACCCTGAGCATTCACTCTCATGAGTATGGATAAGTAGATGTCCAGTTCCTGGTCCTCTCTTGCTATGCACACCCCCTCCTGACATTCCAGGGTCATGTTGTTTCCGGAGGCCCTGCCCCATCTAGGAGACTCCTGTGGAGCATGGTGACCTGGCCCAAAAAGTGACATGTGGGCTGACCTGGATGCCAGTGCCTTGGCCCAGAGAAGTCTTCTCATATGTAAGTCTTGGCATCTTTGAGACAAACACTGGGGAGGAAAGACAGAAAGCCTTCTGCTCTCTCTGACTCCTTCCTGGCATCTTTTCTCCTTTGAGAGGGGCTCCCTGTTTCTTTCCTTTATCCAGAACCCAGAACCCAATCACTGTCATGTGTAATGATACAGAGCAGAGAGGTGGCACAGGCCGGGAATCAACTACACCCTGGTCAGGGCAGGGGCAGTGTTCGGTTCAGCCCTCTTGGCTCAGTTTCCTCTTCTGATGTCTGTTGATGCCCAGACCTTAGCCACGGCAGCCTGCCTCCCAGTTAGCTGGAACTCATTTCCTTGTGAATCTTTTCAGAAATTGAAAACCTACTATTGGATGGCAGGCATTCTGGGCCTCCATCTTTTGCCCACCTACTACTCCTGGTTCAGGATTTCCATGAGGTGTAAGGGTCAGAGGTCCAGCTTGGCCTGAGGACAACACCCCCAGCTGTGGCCACGCAGCACCGAGGGCAGGTGCTCCTAATTTTCTGAGTAGAGGATGTTAGTTGGCTGTCTCTTGTCTCTTAGAGAACATTCTCCTCACATAAAAGGCAAAACCACAAGCCATCACCATTGTCTAAGAATAAATTCCCTATAGGGAAACACCTCATTCTAATTCCTCAAGCATAAGCCTTTTTGTTCTTCCTTTTTTTAAGATTTTCATCCAGAAATATTTTTTGCACATTCAAGCAAAAAGGAAAAAGAATCCCACTCCCCTTTAGCACAAAGGCTGCACACAGTATGATTCTGCACCTGGAAATTTTCATTTAAACTATATCAAGAAGACCTTTCCACATAAGAAAGCCTTGTAGACCACACACACACACACACGCACGCACGCACACACGCAGCACGCATTTTTGGAGGTTCCATCTTGGTTGCCTGCTGCCTCATTGCTTTTCCTTTCCCTTGGTTACTACTACACAGGACTGTGAAGGCCACTGAGAAGTATGGACAAATCCCTGGGATGGAGACAGAAAGAGGATTGACTTTGAATCTGTGAGCTTGGAGAGCCTCCTGGAGGCCATGTCTCTAAGCATGCAGCCCATGTGCTCCGTTTGTTAAGGACATACTGCCGTCTTGGTTAGTGGAAAGAGCATTTAATCCTGGGCAATGCCCACTCCTAGGAAGGAGTGGAGACGGTGGCCCTCTGCTGGTCTTCTGAAGGGACCTGATCCCTAGATCCGCCACAGAAATGCAGTTGCTGATGCTACATAACCAAACCCATTGTACTTCCACTGTCTCCTTAAAGGTGCCCATCCCATTTACAAGTGTAGCTCCGTCTCACAGCATAGCCAGAGCTAACCCGCCCAGCCGCCAGCACAGGGAAGAGTGACAGGTCCACAACAGTCTCTCCTACCTTCGGTCGTTTCTCCTCCTCCGGAATAACTTCTTGGTGTGTGCGATCTCCACTTCATGGGGCATCGGGTGGTAGCCCTGTGACATGGGGGGGGGGGAGCATGAATCATTTTTGTGCAAGACCACATTTACCATAATAACACCCAGTGAAGGACGTGAGAGGCATTCTGACTACCAAATCAGACCAGAAAATAGAAATCATCAGAATGAATGAATCTCCCACCTAGGATGGATGCTAAGATTCCAGACTCAAAGAATAGGGGGACCAGAGGGAGCCCTCAGAATTTTTCATGTTCAAGCTCTCAAATATGGAGGTTGTTCAGGCCAAGGTTGAGCACGTAACCCAATGTCTTTCAGACAAGGACAGCAGAGTCAAGGCCACCAATGCCTCCTCACCCTTCTCCTTGGTTAGGAGCTGGCTCCATGTAAACAGTCCAGGGGTCCTTTCCCCTGGAGTTCCAAGCCAGAGAGCTGAGTATTTCCCTTTATCTATAAGGGTCAGATACATAGTCAATGGCTGTAGGAAGATGACAAGTTCTTTTTCCAGTCTCCAGTTATAAATGTCACCACCTTCTACTGTAGGCCATTGATAGAGTTGAAGGTGAGTGTGCCCAGCCTTGAGCACAAGCTGACTCCTAATCCTAGGTACACATCCCCCATGCAATTTTACTCTTCCTTTACCTTGGAAGTATTTAGGGAAAATATGCAAAGGTCAAATTGTCTTCTAGACTTCAAAGGAGGGCCTGGGGAAAGTTCTATGGGTGGCTTTTGCATTCTGTCCTTATAACGATTCCTTATAGATTGACATCAAGGTTGGGGAGAGACCTGCTTATGTACAACGCCAATGCTACCAAATGCCAGGCCCAGGCAGAATTATTTGCAGAAGCTGGTCTTCATACCTGAGAGGCAAATGTGTCCATGTGGGGACATGTTCAGGAGCACTGTCATTCTATTCTGGGCAGCTGGAGTGAGTAACCATGATCTAGGATTGGATATCCAAGGGGAAGAGTCCTCTCCTGGGGCCTAGTGTACCTGAGATACCTACAGGGTCTCACACTGTGTAGGCATGAAGGAGATGAGAGAGAAGCCACAGATCTAGGTATAATAGAGTAACAAGAGAGGGTCCACTGGGCCCCAAGTCCCACTTGGCAGTCAGGGAGATCAAGGCCCAGAGAGGTCAAACATCCAGAGAGATTGTAGAGTCTTTCACTGTGACTCTCCAGGGAGGGTCTCCTTTAGACTGCCTTCATAGGGCAAGATAGAGGACATTGGCAGCCTTGGCTCTACTCAGACTGGCCAGTTTGCTGGAGCTTCCCAGAGAGGTGATGGGAGGACAATGGGTCAGGCAGACATGGGATCTTGGAGTTATGGTTACTTGGCCCAGACTTCTATTAAGTCTGAAGAGCAAAAGCCATTTTAAACTATTTTAATGATGGCCCTTCCCTCCCACTCCTGGTCTTTCTAGCCTCCAACAAGCCAGCCAAAAATGCGTGAATGGATTCCAGGCTCCAGGCAGCCACAATGGGCCGCTGGGACCTTCAGGATATGCTTTGTTTAATGGATTTTTCAAAGGGTATTATTTGTTTTCTTTAATATAAAACACAAATAAGGAAAAACACCAAGTCTTCCCCTCTTACTTCCCCTCTCCCACCCTGACCAGGTTCAGGCCGGCTCCTTCTCCCTTTTTCTTCCCTCCCTCCCTTCCTGCTTCACTCTAGGCCTCTCCAGGTCACTGTTGGAACACACTGGGAGTGCCCCCAATAGACAATGGTCAGGAAGCTGAGACTCCCTCCCAAGCTGGTCCTGAGCTGGCAGCAGACCAGGATCTCAGTTCTGGGCTGACAGATGGAGCAGCTCACAGTTGTATAACATGAGCCAGGAGTGCCAACCTCTTCAGTCCTGCTGCAGAGCTCTAGGACCTAATGCATATCCAGGCCTCTTCCCACACAGGCTGCAGCCATGGAGAGTTGTCCCTTGGCTCATACCCAGGACTAAAGGAAGAGACCATCCATCCCCCTCAGTCATGTCATCCCTAGGATCAGCTCACCTGAGCTGTGACCACTGAGCTAAGGCTGAGAGGATGGCACGTCCCAGACAGAGACACCCAAAGACAGAAGTAACCAGTGGAAGGAGTGTCGGTTGTTCTGACAGCTTGGTCAGGGCAGAGGGATTTCTGCCTTCAGACGGGAGATGCACCTGCTTTTCAGAAAAGATCTACTCCCCTGCAGGAGAATGAGCTGTGCCAGGTTCTCAGAGCATCCTTGAAAACACCCATGGCCCTGGTGCTAACAGCTTGCTCAGCACATCCGTCTGCTCCTCTCCAAGCAAGAGAACCAAAGGCCGGTTCTCTCAGGTGACTCTTCATATCTATGGCCAGAAGGCTGTAGGTGTGCCTCTGAGGTGTCACCCTGGACACAGACTGCCACTAGGTTCTGCGTACTCTTCCTCAACTCCTCTCTGGGGACAGTTCTCCCTTTGACTTTGGGACCTGGCTACATTTCCCTAATATCCAACCTTTGAGCTTGAGGACCTTGACCTGTATGGGCCCTGGAGACAAGCAACTCACAGAAACCAAGCTTCTCTAGAGAAGGAGGAAGGGAAGGTGGGCGGAGAATCCCTGTACACACAGTGCTGGCAGAGCATATGTTTGACATGCACATGCATCTTTACAAACACACACATATCCCAGTGCTGGAAGTCAGTGCAAGAATAAGATGCTCCCTAAGCGACAGCACATTATCTTTGTGGTTGCAAAAACATGTTCTATAAAACAAGCCCACTCCAGAGTAGGCTTGGTCAGGGGGAAAAAATCACAGTGTGTTGGTTACTTTTTATGGTCAACTCCGCACAACCTATTCACCTGGAAAAAGATAACCGCACAACCCTCAGCTACCAGTTGCTCCTCATTCTTTAGTTGTCCCTTGACCCCAAGTCACATGAAGGTGCGTTCTATTTCAGTCCCAAACGCTCCCAGTCTACCCTGCAGCTGGGCTCTTCCTTGCGACAGATTTTAGTTCAACAGAAAGCCTCCTGTGGTCACCCTCCCCTCATGGGCTGATGGTTCTCCTCATTGACAAGGTTTTCAGGGCAGCCTCTAGTCTTTCCTTCCTTCCTTCCTTCCTTCCTTCCTTCCTTCCTTCCTTCCTTCCTTCCTTCCTTCCTTCCTTCCTCCCCCCCCTTTCTTTCCCAGGGTTTCTCTGTGTAACAGTCCTGGCTGTCCTGGAACTTGCTTTGTAGACCATGCTGGCCTCAAACTCACAGAGATCTGCCTGCCTCTGCCTGAGTGCTGGGATTAAAGGTGTGGGCTATTATACCCTGCTTCCTTTCTTTTCTTCCTCCCCTGCTAGTTAAGTTTTTTGCATGCTTAACTTTGGGAGGACTGCATTTTCTGGAATGACTATCTGGGACCTGGCACCTGGCTTTAGAAGCATTGTCTCATGTTTGATCTGCAAGACTAGAGCGTATGCCCTGGGCTTGAGACATGAGACCAAGCAGCAGGTAGAGGGGCTGGGGGAGCCACTGGACTGGCATTCCCTGTTGCCACACAGCTTTTCCAGCCAAGGAGATGATGGTACTCATTTGGAGAATGTGACCTTTAGATTCCCCCTGTACCACCAATGGGTCACAGCTCAGGAGCAGTCCACCTAGGAGGAAAGCTCTAGTGACTGCTTTCATCCCACTGGCCTGGAGAGCCACTTCAACCTCTATTTATGGAAACATAGCAGGAGAGCTGGGCTGCGGCCAGGATGTAGCAGTGCCTGGTATGGGGTTTAGAGGAGCCTGGAGAGCAGTGAGCCAGGGAATCTCCAAGGACTTGCACACCTCTCTGTCAGTCACCCCGCCACAGAAACAGCTCTCTTTCTTGCCTTGCAGCATCTTCCCACGTCTGCTTCTCTTAGAGGCTCCAGCCTTCACCCCTACACAATGTTCGTGCCCTGAAAAGCTGGCTCTACTTCCCATGACAATGAATCCATGCGGTCGCAGCAGTGGGACAGATGTCTTAACACTCCATCTCTGGTCCAAATAGTCCAGGTAATTGTTTACATGTTTATCTCCCCAGCAAAGCTGTATAAACTTTCAGCTCAGAGCTAGGCTTCCTTTACCCGTGTGCTCATGGTCTCTGCACAGGCAGACACTGTGGACCTCCATAATTGCTCTTGGAAAGAAATTAAGACAATGGATTACTCTCGATGAGCCAGATTTGGGCCATCCTCTTCTACCCAGTGTGGACTAAGAGCACTTACAATGTGACCTAGGGACCCAGGAGCCCACCGTCTGTGGCTTGCAAGTACTATTTCTAGCTTTGCAAGAAGTTGGATCTTTGATGGCCCCATAAGCTCTCAACCTCCTAACACAGCTGGGTGCTTAACAAAGGCAATGTCTTCTTCAGTTAAATAGGAAGGATTGTGGCTGTCTGGATCCTTGATCCTTACTCAGACTGTAAGATCTTTGAGGACCACGGTGGCCATTCACTAGCTTGCAGGGCAAGGTGTCATACCCATTGCTGACTCTGTGAGCTTTCAGTCTTGCAATAAATGTCTCAGTTTCGCTCAGTAAGTCCTAGGTACAAAGCAGCAGATGGGTGTGGTCAGGCATCCTCTCTCTGAGCTGGTTTCCCCTGGTGAGAATGGAGAGACCGATACTAGCTCTTGACTGTGAGAAATAAGTGAGGCGCTAGAAACAGAAGCATATGATATGGGGGAATGCATCTGCTAGTTCCACAGTACAGATTTACTGTGTTCAGGGGAGATGGGCTCTTGGGCAACTCTGCCCATAGAAAGAGAATGGTCCAAGGGTACCCTAGGTTCACAGAGCTAAAGCCAGACAGACTACGGTATCAGTGTCCACAAAGGGAAGAATTCATCCCGAGGGGTCATACAAGCAACACATGCTCAGCACAGTGAGATTGGGAGTTTCAATCTGAAAGGTACAGGGCTGAAGCCCAAACTGGGACCAGGAATCAGACACCAGATGGTGTCCCCCTCATCAGTCCCTTCTTGGGTATGATCATTGCTTATAAAATGCAGGGGACTCCTGCTTTCTGTCCTGGATTTGTATTGTTTATTGGCATGAAAGAG